TTAGAATCATGTTAAAACAGTGCAGTGACAATCGAGGAAATAAGTAAAAGTATTCATGTTACAGATTAACTTCTCGCTTCGACGTTAAAACTTCTTCGGCAGCTATCTCTTTGAATATGTACTTCACGTGAACTCAACCACCACAGAAAAAAAGGCATGTTCCGACATGTCACGGCAGGCTACTCGCTTGTTAGCCGACTACCCCTTTCGGGCCTTGGGGAACGCCCCCCATTAGCAAAGTGGGGGCTGCGAGAGGCGGAGGCCAGGCCGAGCGAAGGGGCGGGGCGGCGCGCGCACTGCTCGGGGACGACGAGCGGCCGACGGACGCAGCGCTCCCGAACATCACGCCCGTCTCTGAGACTGGCACCGTCCAATAACATTTAACTATTTCTGAGGAAAAGAAACTAATAATTGTAGCGACCTACTTCAAATTATACTTCGATATTGAGTTTTTCACTCGTTGCACTCTTCAAAATTTGAGTATCAGATGATTGAATTCACCAGAAGTTTAGCCCTCGCCAGCACATCATCATCCTTAGTTTATAACAATTACGCGGTGAAGAAACTTAACAAGTAAAAAACTAAAAAGTCACCAGTTGGAGAAAAACACCCACGTCCCCAATTGTTTTTTATTCGTTGAGAGAACTGTAATAAGACGGAAAGTTATAGCTTCCGCCCAGAAATGTTGCTTTCATTAACATAAACGACACTGAGTGCCTTGGAGGAATTTGGCGCGTTGGAAAGGCGCAGTTGTCTCCCGCCGCCGGGCGCTCGGTCGTTCGGAGTCCCGCGCTGCTTTCCCGTCACCCTGCGTCGATTTATGCAACTGCGACAGCGCTCTCCCCGCCCCCTGGCAGCCCGAGCCCCGGGCACGGCGCGGCGCGGCGCGGCGCGGCGCGGAAGGCGAAAGGTCGCGCCGCCGTGGCGTGGCGTGGCTTGCCGTGACTGGCAGAGCGGGTCGTGGTCACGGCGGGTCGCGACAGCCAGCGGGAGGACGTGGCGAGGTAGAGACGGCGTCTGAGGCGTGACAGGCGTCATGAGGCCAGGAAATGGCATGGAGCCTTGCAAGACAGGCATGGCGTCAACACAGGGCCGCGGCGGCGGGACGCGCGCGCGGCGGGGCGCGCGGCGACAGGGACGACGGACGGACCGGACGACGGACGGGACGGGACGACGGAGGACGGGGGGACGGACGCGGCGGCGGGGCCGGCACAAGGGAAGGCAGGAGATTACGAGGCCGGTCTGGGACGAGTCGGAGATGTATGGACCGAAAGGCACACCGGGCGGGAAGAGATGGCTTGTCGGTTGAAGTGGCGCGGAGATGTGAGGTGTCCCGGAGTCACCCCACTCCGAGCAGCACGTGCCGCTCGCATAAGAACCGCATGTCCGACGAACGCCGCACGTCAGTACCATCTAAAACATTAACATCGCCCGAAAGGCCTTGCAGCTTTTCTACTACAAACGGACCGTGTGCAATGCTTGCTGTGATACTACACACCAACGTGCGTTGAATTGGAAGTGAAGCGGCGCGCAGTTGCGTCGCTACTGTCACCAACATCGCTGCGATTTTGTCGCAATTGGCTTTAGGAAAAGTAGAGGTGATGGGAACGCGTCCGGGAGCCAATCGTCACGTTTAATGAAAATGTCTCCGAGATATCATAGGAAACAATGGATCTCCCAGAGGTATAAAGAGTTTGTTTAATTCATAAAATCAATACTCGGTGCGTGATTTGGAGCGGTTCGAACAGTACAAATCTCAAAATTTATATTTGAATAAACGTTACGTAGAGCTGGAGCCTCCCACGCTGTTTTTCCACCAGGGTTTCCGTGTCGCTACGGCGGCGCCGCGGCCGATGGCAGATGACGAGGAAGCGCCGCGCAGCTCGTCTGAGCCCCAGGCGAGCGAAGCCGCGAAGGCCACGCGCAGGCCGCCCGGCTTTCTCCTTTTAGCATTTCCACGCGCTAAACAGCAAATCGCGCCGCGCGCAGCCCCGCGACGGCAGGCGGGCTGCATACGCCCCTGCCCACTGCTCCGGTCGCTGATTGCCTGGCCTTGGGGCGGGGTAAGGTCGCACTCCGGTGGATGGGCCGGCCGTTGAAGTATAGGCGCACGTGGATGAAAAGCATACATAAATGCGTGTTACCTCCTCCTCATCAATGTACTATGAATGTTATGCATTTTTTTTTAAAATATATAATTTTAAGGATAATTACGTACCCTCAGATAGTATACTATATATTCGTCAAGGTAGGTAAGTTGAGCCATTGTAAGATGTTTTCTTCTAACCAAACGTTAGCGAAACATCGCCTTAAAACGTTCATAATTGAGAGTACGTAGGACACCTACTACTTACTACAAACTTGCTGGCATATTAATCAAAATTAAGTAGCCAAAAAATGACACACACAAGATATCGCATCAAAATATAATTTATCGTAAATAGCTTATTCCTACATAGATCAACAATATATAACACAACAGAGTTTCATTAATATATTCGTAATTATTACTAGCTGAACATGTACGATTACAGCGGCCAACAGGAAGGATGGTAGAAACATAACAAGAGAATGTACTTATTCCCCACAACTAATGAAACGAGAGAGGTACACAAATTCTAGAAAAATACAATTACTATTCATTGTGAATACAGCGTTAAATTATGTTTCTCAAAATAAAATTGAAATATTTTATATTTGCCAAGATCTCTCTTCATTTTCCAGTAGTCTATAGTAGTATGCTCTAGTATTCTCCTTTACTTACGATAGTAATGAGTACTAGAGTGACCCGTAACTTATAATTACGGTCAGAGAAAACTTTCCTTAAAGTGACGCAGATGTCAAACGATTGCTGGATATTGCGATTCTGTACACTCACTAATCACTGCATATAAAAACAATCAATCTTCGAACTTTAAACTTGCTGTAATTGCTTTACCAACAATAACCTCATGATGAAAGGACGCTAGACAAAACGAACACGACCAAATACCATTTTATTGCACTTGGCCTTCAAAATGACGTCACGAACAAATGACTGCATACAAACAAACATTTTATCAATTTTAATACAGTATTAAAATTTGATGTTTTTACAATAAAATCAGCGAATAAGAGAATTATAGCAAATCTAGAGCTATCTTTTATTTAAAACAAAAATCACGAAATTTGATTCAGTAGAAAACTTAAATACATACGCAGCTCCGAATTGACAAAATATAATAATAAATACATAAATAATTTCCGCAGAGTACAATTAATTCTGTCTATATTTAATGTATTTATTTATTTCCAACTCCGATAGTTTGACTTCCAGAACTTCGGGTCACAATTAACTTCGACAGCAATATAAGTTTGGCGATATCGCTCAAGCATCTCTCTAGAAATAATTTATGTAAAAAGACAAACAATTATGGCACTTTTAACTTAGATTTGTAAACCGTAAGTAACTTTGGTGACAACGCACGATTATCTTGATTGTGAAAGTGTTGCACAAGAACTTTCCACGTACACAGCCAAAACATAATTTAAAAAGAGCGAGAAAATGAAAAACTCAAAAATCTCATATTACTAATTTGTTGATAATCTTCGCCAACAATACACGATATCTTTGAATTATGGAGTATTGCCTTCAGCGAATAAACAAATGGAAAGGGTTAAATTTTATTTTAAAAAATATTTAATAGTGATGTTTGCTTTTTGATTTCGCGTGGTCTGCGTTGCATAATGGCCAGAGCGGGGACGCTGTTGCTGTGCCTGTTGCTGCCGGGGGGAGTGATTCACGCTGTGACGTTGAGCAGGAGCCGCGCAGCAGCTCCTGCGAGTTGTTGCAAAAGCAAACCGACCTCCACTCCCTAGATAAAGATTGTATTTACTCCCACCAACAGCCGAGGAATGAATTAAATCGCTGCCATAAACTCAGCTTGCGTTTGTTGATGTTTCCACGGCCAAGTAGGAGCACTGCGAACACTTCCATTTTTGCCAAGACATTTATGTGACCCTATGACCTGCACTTTTTAAAAGCAGCTGTGCAGCACCCAAAGTGAGATGACATCATTTCTTGAGTGTTTTTTTTATCTCTGCACAAACTGATTCATGAGAGTCATCAAAAGCTTTTTCTTGGGCCTTGACATGTTCTGGTCTCTGGGGATATAAATGAGGATTTGCTGACTGTCCTTATTTACAATTACCTATATAATAAGATGGTACTGCTCATTACTTTACATGGATTTGGGAAACTGTTGCCTACTACGCAACAGCTAGCAATGGAATTTACTAACTGCACTGCCTTGCCTTACACAACTATGAATTCAATGTAAAGTTGGGAAATTTCAATGCATCAAAGAAAGTGTGCATAGCTGTTTTCAAAGTAGAAAAGCAATTTAAAAATTTTATTCAGGGGGTCATAAAGAATCCCTATATCTTCTCTGTAAATTTTATCAGATTTCAAGAAATTCAAGTTCCTATTGAAGACATTATAGAGCACAAAGGATGTAATAAAAAAAGCAAATCAAATGTAATAAAGAACATAGTCTTCACCAAACATGTATTTGTTAAAATTACAGACTACAATAAAACATAAACAAAAACGTTTATGTCAACTGTAAAACGAAAACACAACAGTACAATGAGATCGGATTACAAATACTCAATGAGGCAGGCAAACTTGAAAAAAAATGAAAAAAATTAGCAGGAAAGTTTTAACAAAGCCCTCACAATAGGCTATCGAGCTCTTAATTTATATTCTGGTTAAAAGAGGAAAATGTGTGTACTATTTCAGGTAAGTAATGTGTTTTGCAAGCACATCCTCAAATGAATGATAATGGTATTGAATAATAGTTGTGGAGTTCATGAACTATCAATCTAATTGAAAATGCAGAAACTATCTTTACAATACATTGTAAACAGGCTCTTATCAACAAAGCCTGAAGCACGTTTTAAGGAAATTCATATTATATACTTTTTCATTCACTCGTAAAAATGGAAATCATGCAACTTACTGTTCGATGTGTGGAGCTGCATCACCCAAACTCTGATTCTTGGAATCTGCTTGGCTCGATGTAATGATGTGAGACATCATAGGTCCAGCTACAGAGTGAGGTGGTGATCTTGGGCCCCCAGGTAACAGACCCTTCTCTCGAGGAGGTGATCTCGCACCAGGCACTGCCACATGTCGGTGCTCAGTTGAATGCCCTTGGGCAACAGATCGAGGCGATGACATCTGAGAATGTGGGGGAGACCTGGGGCCTGTGGGAGAAAGCGACTGGGTGGGACTCGAACTGCTGGGAGACCTTGGGGACATTGACTGAGGTTTGGGCGGAAGGTCCCCATTGGGCACAGCCAGAGGTAATCTCTGAAGTCGGGCTCTAGCTGGCATGGACATGAAATTACTATTGTTCCTCTTATTGGTTCTATCTAGGTCACTCATTCGCAATGAGTCAGTGAATCCTCCGTTTTGAACTGTTCTGTCAGGTAGAGGAGCAGCAAGTTTCCCATTCACTACGAGTTTTTGAGTAGAATATTTCTGTGCTGTCCAACTATCCAGAGTCTTTGACATTGGAGTCTCCAAGCATTTTTGATGAAGGTTTTCTGTTGATCTCATTCCCGAGGGCCTGTTGTAGCGGTGTCCAAGTGAATTACTTTCATGATATCTGTACATGGCACTACTCCCATCCAACGATCTGTTACTTTCAAGGTATCTGCGGTTCAAAGTTCCTCCTCCTTCAGGATACCTGTGTACAGGAGGAGGACAACCATTCTCATGATACCTTTCAAATTGCCTCATATTGTTTTCCATATGAGCTTGATTTATTGCACCATTTTCCACACATTTCTGCATGGATATGTTCTCCTTCTTAGGTGAAGGTGGACCATGAGAATTGTGAGAAGAGATGCCATTCTCATAGTTCTTTTGAAGTGTATTGCTATGCTGATTTCTATGTGTAGTTGACTCATTATCAGAATATTTCTGAGGGTGTGAATTACTTTCATACTGTCTTATATCTGGGTGTCGTTGATGACTTGTATTATGAGAGAACTGATGGGACACATTTTCATCATGTTTGAAAGACTTGTTGAAGTGCTCTTGCTGAAAACTTCTAGCAGATGAGAAGCTTTCTGAGAACTTTTGAGGCAAGTTACTTTCAGAGTGCCTCTGAATGAAACTGTTGTTTCCTTGATGGTAACTTTCAGATTGTCTTGATGGCACATTGTCATTATCTACTGTTCTCTGAGGGATGGGTCTTTGAAGAGAGTAAGACGTTTCCGAGTGTCTTTGAGCACCATGATTTGATTCAGAATGCCTGTGATTTACGTTGTTCTCTGAATGCCTCTGCATGACTTCGTTATGGCGTTGCATTGTAGCACCAGTTTCCAAATGCCTATGCACTGCATGACCTGTTTCAAGGATTCGAGGATGTGCTGTGGATCCATTTTCCAAATACCTATGATTTGAAAATTCAGTTTCAGGATGCCTCTGGACATGGTGGTTATTTTCACTGTATCGCTGAGAATTCTGAGAATATTTCTGAACAAATGCACTCATCTCAGGACTCCTAGTATCTGAATGTTTTGACGAGATAGAACAGGAATCAATATGCTTTTGCTCTTTTGATGGAATATCCGGATACTTATTATGTGAAATGGAATCTTGGCGATGGTGCAGTGGTGCATTGGGCAATTCAAGATCCTGTTGTCGACTGCATGGTGAGTTGTCAGGGTGATTATGGCAAACAGAACCAGCTTCATTATGTTTCTGGAAAGAGGAACTCAATGTTTGTGATCTTTGGGGTGAAGGAGGATTTTCAGCTTGTCTTGGCATCTGGCAACTGGACTCCTGATGTCTAGCTATTGGCATACACACTTCTCTCTCATGTCTCTGACTACATTCAACTTGAGATTTCTGTGTTGATTCTGATGAACGAGGAGAAAGATTTGTATAGTCAGTTTGCTTCACAGAGCTCTCCTTTTCGGAGAATCTTGGCACATCTGAAGAGGACTCTGAAGGTTTCTGAGATTTCTCTGGGCTGAGTTCCGAGGCAAAAGGCCAGTCTGAAGGACGCAGGTCTGGAGGAGGGGGTGGCAAAGGCTCATCTGTAGCGAAAACCTCATCTTCCAGAACGGGTGGAGGAGACGGAGGAGGAAGGTCCGGACTGGCCATTCTGTCGGGAACAGGGGGAGGGAAGGCAGTACGTAAATGAGGTTTCTTAGGAGGACGTTCAGGGACCCAGTCATCCACTGATATAGAAGGTCCCATAATGACAGGCCCCAGGAGATCTGTTGATAGAGATCCGCAACTGGAACTTAGAAAACGAAGTCATCATCAATTGAATGTTAGTCATTCACATTAAATGTTAATTTTCCTTGCAAACTCCTCTCATTCATACAGGTTGAATGAGGAGAGTTTGCAAGTAAAACTTTTATACAAAATTTGGATTCCTTTAGATAAGAAGACTCAAGAATTACAAAAAAGATTCCAAATAAATCTAAAATTATAGTGCTTGAAAATTTTAAACCCCAAATGCGTAGAATACAAGAATAAAAGTATCCTGGGCATACAAAGTAACCTTTTGGAATTAATTTTCAAAAATTTTCTATTAGAATGTTAATTTTGTAATGCTAATGCAACTAATTTGGTTTAAAAATTGTGATAATGAGAAAACAATAATGGCAAGGTACCCACCTATGCTGATGTCTAGCAGTTTCACGCATGTTGTTCGTCTCGGATGAAGCTGGTTCCCTGTTAGCTGTCATCTGAAAAAGAGGCAGGATTTTCTTACACTTAAATAAAAAAATTACAACAATGATCATATAATTAATCAATTGGGCCAATTGGGACGAGTCCAATTTAATTCATTTCCTTATGGATTTCAACATTATTAGAGATTGGGTTCATAAAACATATTACGTATGAATTCATTGTTTAGTTCTCAAACTTCAATTCTAATTCAAATAAATTGAAAATGTTTCAGATACTTCATTTAAAATCAATTGTTAGAATCTAATTTTAAAGGTTAAAATTAAAGGATGAAAATCATTGCTTATTCATAAATAACTAAGGTGAAGCTTTTAGGGAGGGAAACAGACAGTCCAAAGGTTTTAGTACGGCTTTTGGTCAGAGATATTAAAATTCAAATCAAATCAATTTCTAACATTATTTACTTTTATGGGTTTCAATTTTTTTTTGTGTTTTGGTTTGAATATATCTCTTTACATTCCTTAAACTTTTCTCTTTATTGAAACATACTCTCTCATACTGCTCTATTGAGGGGCCCAATATTTGGTACTTACAAGTTAAAACATAAATTAACAGAAAAAGATCTGTTAACAATAAAAATGTCTTTATAAATTCACTTTTCCCTCTTAAAAAGAAAAAAATAGCTTTGCAAATCTTATATTCATCTTTAAGATAATGAAATTTATTTAAAAATAAAGAACTGTAGAATGGCAATTAGTGATTACTGTAGATTATCCCTAGTACTGCTAATTCTAAATGGTATGGGATTTTGGGATTATAATTTTAAAAACTTTCATATTTACATTGTATTTCATGCTCCATACATATAAGCATCACAAAGATGTAACACATTGACAATCCTATCTTAGCTTAGATCAGTTTACACTAATCACTGAGCATATACTTTTAATATCTTAGCAGTATCTTCTACTTTAGTTTTGGCTTCTGCGCGTAAATACAGATAGCTTACCATTTCCTGAAATGATACAATGCTCTATGTTGATAGTTAGCAATAGGGTTCCCTGTTGCTTCTTTAGATTTCGAACAAACCTTTTCAGAACAAAAAATACTTGACCTGCCATCTCTTGAGATTACAATATGAGATTCATCTTCAGTTAAAAATGAATGACACCAATTAAGATATGCCTACCTCTCTCCATGCTCCTCCAGCATAATCTGATGCGGATGAGGCTCTTCGAGCGGACTGACTCCCATTTCTTGGCCTGGGAGGTGGCTGTGGAGGAGGTGGGGACTGCGGCGGGCAGGGCATGGGCACCGCTGGCTGAGCCAGATGGGGCTCCGACCTCCACGTCGTTTGGTGAGAGCGGCTGGGCACACCAGCCTGAACAACGGGTCCTTGGTGATGACGCTCGTAGAAAGAAAGCAGAGCCTTCTTCTGGATAGCCTTCAGGGTCGGATCGGAAACGCGATGTCTCTTGTCGGGATCATAGTAAGTGTACCGAGTCTGTTGCTGTTGCAGCTGACTTTGCTGCGGCTGCTGCTGCTGTTGCTGCTGTTGTTGCTGACGTTCAAGTTCACTAATGCGCTCAGCAACGGAGAGAGTTGGTTGCGTAGGAGACACAGGCATGTTTCTGAAATAAAATGAAAAAAATTATAAGTACAAATGAATAAGAAACCAAATCTAGCCTCTATTGATAAAACATTTGACAAGCCTGAATATACACATGAATTTATATTTATTCACTTTTGAATAAATGAAATAACACATAGCATAAAAGTAAATTTCAGTGAATTTCAATTTCATTAATTTGATATTTTAATTTATACATGCAAGTAGTGAACAATGTACATACAATAAATATTGTTGTTTTACAACATTAATAAGTTTTTTCAATTATAGTTTACTTTAATATGACCCTTTCATTCATTGTTGCATAAATAATGATAAATAAAAAATAATATAACACTTCAATCACATAAAAAATAACTTCCTTGACTAACTACCCTGCACTGGCATTTCAGATATATTATAAGAGAATAAAAAATGCAGCATGGTCCTTCACTTAAACATACGCTGTGTATTGTACAAAACTCATGATAGGTTTGAAGATGAAGATGCAGTAATTTATGTGACACATTACGGTGCAGTGAAATTGATAAGCAAGGAAGATGGAAGCCAATGTACAATACATTTCATTACTTTGTATTAACTGATCATTTGAGGGATTTCATGGTATCATCAGTGTAGATTTTGTTTCGTGCATATCTTTTAATAATTCTTTACTAACTTTCTAATCCTATGAATTAATTTTTTTGCATAACAAATATTATTTAATTGTTGTGCTAGTATATTTCCACCTTTTAATGCAATTCATATATTTATTTCTCTTTTACACATTTTCTATAATGGTTCTCAAAAACTTTGTGTACAGAAGGTGCACAGTGGTTAAAGTGTGCTACTGATGATATTTAGGAAAGCTCACGAGTTAAATATATTCTTCACATATATATTCACAGCTTTGTTGAATCTAATACATTCTCAATTAAGGTCTTCAAATGAGAAAGTCTGTTCTTTTGTCACAGAGATCGGCGCAGGGCAGGTTCGCAAGCAAGACAGCTCGCAAACCAGACTCGCAAGTCATCCTCGCAAGCCAGGCTTGTGATCCGGTCTATCAATCCAGGCTCTCAAGCCAGACTCTCAAGCCAGGCTCTCAAGCCAGGCTCTCAATCCAGGCTCTCAATCCAGGCTCTCAATCCAGGCTCTCAAGCCAGGCTCTCAAGCCAGGCTCTCAAGCCAGGCTCTCAAGCCAGGCTCTCAAGCCAGGCTCGCAAGCCAGGCTCGCAAGCCAGGCTCGCAAGTCAGGCTCGCAAGTCAGGCTCGCAAGTCAGGCTCGCACGTCAGGCTCGCACGTCAGGCTCGCTAGTCAAGCTCTTGACCCAGTCTACCAATCCAGGCTCGCAAGCTAGGCTCGCAAGCCAGACCTACAAGTCACGCTCGCAAGTCAGGTTAGCCAGCCAGGCTCGCAAGCCATATCTACAAGTTACGCTCGCAAGCCAGGTTAGGAAGCCAGGCTCGCAAACCAGACTGGCGAATTTCGCTGGCGCGACGCACCTGTGTCCGGGCTGCGTCTGCTGCTGCTGCGGCGACTGCGGCGGCGACTGCGCAGGCGGCTGCGCCTGCTGCTGCTGGGTCTGGGCTTGGGCCTGGGCCTGGGCCTGCGGCTGCGCCTGGGCCGTCGCCGGCTGCTCCTGCGGCGGCTGCACCGTGTACGTGTGCACGGGGAAGAGGCGCAGCTTGTGGGAGTGGTGGGAGGCGCGCGCCGCCGCTGCGGCCGCCGCCGCCTGCCCCAGGTACAGCACGCTCTCCGAGTGGTGGCGCTGCGGCGTCTGCACCCGCGCGCTGTGCGCGATCAGCTGCCGCGACCCTCCGCCTGACACACACGCACACACACACGTTAGAGCGCTCAGGGATGGCCATTTCACACGAAATTCCTTTTAAATTATTATACTGAATAGAGAAAAAATTAAGAATATTCAGACTAGATTTATTGTTGAATTTCCTTTTTATTTAAAAATATATTATATTAATTAACGTCAGTGATCATTTACCACAAGATACTTGTTTATTCGTTTCATCAGTACATAATCACTCCACTTCGTAGTAACCCCTGCCCTCGTTACATCTGAATTGTATTGCCCGTTGCGTATCAAAAGTTCTCATCTATAAATATTCTTATTCGCAAACTAACTTTTATCAACAATACGCCAATGGCGTGATCTGAAGGAGTCTAAACCAGAATACCCGAATCTCTTTATTTACAATCACTGCGATGATAATTTTTGGGGATCTGCCATTTCTCCTACGCATTATTGTTAACCGTATTGAATGCCCTGATATTATTTGATTAACTAGTAATATAGCAAGCTCTGATAAAATTGAAATCTAGTTAAAGTTTGTAATCCTCGTACCTCAATTTTTAAATCGTTCTTCGTTGCTTCTGTAATCGACTTTCTGTGACTCTACAAGGGTATCTGTGATGATATTTTATAGTTTTGTTTCTTTTGTGATAATACTTTATAAAGAAGTGTCCCGTTCATAGTAATAAATAAATTATTTGTACACGTAGCAGGCGTACCAGCAAGTGAGTCAGTGTTACTTCCTTTTGAGGTAGGGGGTTGTAGGAAGTAACAAAGTTGATTGCTTGTTGCCAGTGATCATTTGGTAGGAAATTTCATACTACAAAGATACACACGACTTATGCCCCTGAACGTCAGGCAACACACAATGCACTGGTGTTCGACGAGTCACAGTCAGATGCGACGTGAATTCCTATTCCGTCAACAATCCATGATGAATCAGGGGCAAATATGTATTAACTAATTTCAGGTTAACTAAAATTTATATTTCAGGGAATGCCAATATTATAAAGTGTGTGTATAGTTAAATATCCTGGAGCACGTAAAACAACAAAGTGTAATATTTTTGTTGTTATGATGGCATGCGAGCATGACTGACCTGCGTGGGCGTGCGTGGCGCCGTGGGCGTGGGCGGCGGGCGGCGCGCAGGAGCTGCTGGCCACGCTCACGTCGCTGAGCGAGCCGTGCCACTTGAGCGTCTCGCTGCTGGACGCGCTGCCGGAGCTGGTGGTGACGACGCTGTCGCGCCCCGGCCGCTCCCGGTCGCGCTCCCGCTCCGCCGCCGCCGCCGCCTCCTCCCACGCGCCGGGCCCCGCGCCCGCCCCCGCCGACGAGCACGCGCTGCTGGAGGGCGGCGCCTGCGGCCCGGGCACCGGACGGCCCTCGCCGGCCACCTCGCTGTCCCGGCGCAGCCTGCCACACATCAACACCATCACTCGCAACTCACACCAACACTCGCCCGCCACGGCGAGCGGGACTCACGCGCATCACAAGTACAGAGGACACTTAAATAGTAAGAAGACGAGCTGTATTTTTTACCACTTACTTTATGGTTGTAACAAGTTTTCTTCACAAAAGTTTCCTAATCAAATTTTCAGATAATCGGTTTTTTGTTTTTGTTTTATTTTACTCTAGGATGTGTGTGTCTCCAACGACAGGTAAAATTGGCAGCTAAAATAGAATATTAAAAATACAAACATCATATTATATAATATGTTATGCGAACAATTTTAATACAAAAAAAGAGATGAATAAGTAGAAGACATAGGCTAATTGGAAGCTTAACTTACCTCCGAAACGTTCGAGTAAAATAAAACAAAAAACTGATTAACATCGTGGGCTTTCACGACCCGAGTCAATATAAGATAAATTTTCCGGGCTGGTAGGCCGTTGTTTAGTTAGCATTGATGGGGCAAACTTTCGTCCACGGCTGCGGTGGACATCTTCAGTGCAGGCGGGGTCGCGGTCGCGGTGTTCGGTCGCTGCGGTTGGATGGCGACTGGCGATGTCCACTGCAGTCGTGGACGAAACGTTTGGCCCTTGAATGCCAACTAGAACACGACCTACCAGCTCGGAAAATTTCTCTTATAAATAACAGCATGTCGTAAAATTTTACTTGGAATTTTTTATCAAGAAGACAAGCTACAATTTCACTAAGATCTAGATATTAACATTTGCGAATGGCGGGGGGGTTGGCTGAGGCTGGTCTGGTTAATGGAAGTGAACGAATGCTAAGAACATTAAATCATTAATTTCTGATTTCGGCGGAACTTATTCATAAACACTGACAAAACGAGTGTATGGGCGTATACTTCGATTTATTTAGAGCTTCATTTGATTTGTCATCAGTTGTTAAGGTGTCATAATCAGGAGCTTACACGTCACTACGGTGACGTTCGGCCTCCTGATTGGATGACATCGTAACAGCTGATTTACGTCAATTGAACATATGCTTAAATCAAAGTATAACTTGCAGTCATATCGCCAGCAATGGCCAAGCAGTAGCTGACACAGCGGTCTCTAATAGTGATCTCTCTACACCAGCGTTCTTTCCAGATTATTGTCTCATCCGTAAGCATCACCAGCGCCATTATTTTTTTTGGGGGGGGGATTCAATAGATAAGGTACAGATAACAAGGGTAACCTCTCCCTAACAACAACAAAAAGTGGGGGTCGCCCCCATAGGTAACGCTGATGCTCTTATCAAACAAAAGAGAATACAGGGCAATGGATTTCATTTTGACTTATGACTCGAATATCATGCAGAATTGATGAGATTTTTTTAAAGCGATGTATCTCCAAAGTATACATTTTTCATGAAGCAAAATATTCAAATTCAGTCTTATATTTCAAAGTTAGACTTAATGGTTTGCGGAGACCGTTTGACATAGGAGATATACCATTTTTAGGAGAATGTTCGACATCATGGTGGAGAAGCGCCTTAAAAATGTATTAATACCTACAAATAGAAAACCAACGGAATTGGAGACACGTCTCTTTGAAGCTCTTCAATTGTACATAGATAATTATAAATTTAGTCACCAATGAACCACCAGTTACACCAAACCAATATTCTCTTAAACTATTAAGAAACGACCAAGCACACAAATTGTCTTCATTCAAGCGCACTATATTCAATCTATAAGCAATAATCACCAACAACAAAGAACAAGAACAGATTGAACTGTTCTCAATTACCTCTAATGGACTTCACTACATTAATCACGATAAGTACTCAGTAACCACCAGTAAAACGCAAAGCACACGCCATTATCACTTGGAACCACAGACCACATATGATCATAAGCTTCATCGGGTTCGAAACAATTGCTGATCCCAGAATGTTGGCGATGACAGTCCATGAATAGCAAAACACACAATATCACATGAACTAAGAAATCACATGGCCAAAAGTGAGTTACAGAGCTGATAATGTTCCTACGGTCTCTTAACCAGTGCGACTTGGCTTCTATGTGGAGTATTGTATGAATACTACACTAATTTCATTCACGAATGAACTGCAGAAACAGTAGGCAAACAAAGTAAAACAAACAGAAATTCCAAAAACAGCCCGAAATACATAGCCATTCTATGAGCGAAAAATGAAATTCAAAGGGAACGGAAAGGGCACGACGAAGGGTCGCACGTCCACCGACCCCCGATCGCACGTGAAAGTGTCCCTGGAGAGCCTAACAGTGCGCCACGAACTTTCCACACTGGCCGCGACGCGAGGTGGGCCTAAGCAAAGGCGCGGGCGAAAGGAAATGACGTCACGCGGGGTTCCCGGGCGATGAATGGGGGCGGTGCGTCACGGGGGGGGGGAGGGCTTCGCGCACGGCGTCAATGGCATTCCTTGGCGTGCGCCCTTTATTCCTTGCCGCGCACCCCGCACCTCGCCCCCTGCCGCGCTTTCGGGGTCTTTCCGGGATCTTGAAGTTTGTAGGCATCATATACATTTCGCTTGAAGCCTCCGCCCCAACTCGACATTGAATGTTTGGAAATTGGTCGTTCCCCCACCTCTAAGAACGTCCTCCTCCTCTTAATAATAATAATAATAATAATAATAATAATAATAATAATAATAATAATAATAAAATAGTCTCATAAAATCCTCCTCTTCATAAAATAGTTGATATTCGAGCGGAACGAGATTTGAATCCATTCACGGAAGATGCATCAAGCGACATTCTGGTGAGGTGGGATGTTCATGCCAGTCACTCCACCATTTATTACATTTATACATTAACAATCGCTGCTTGAAAACGTAAAAGGAGCATTTAAATACTTATTTGTAAATAGTTAAAAGAGCACTATTAAATAGTTGCTCTACAAAAACAATATTTACTAAAAATATTAATGTGTCGCATGATTATTCATTGAACAGAACAGTATCCACAGAATCCCATCCCATCCCAATTCATCAAAACAGTATCCACTCTTAAATTGCTTGCATTATACTCTCTTTATTACACGAATAACTTCTTGACAAATGCATAACTTACTTTTGTAATGGTCGAATCGACTGGCCAATAGCAAACACATTCCATGAAACAAGTGTTACCAAATATTCTAAACTACTACGGGTGCTTTGGCTCTTTGAATTATGTTCATGAGGGAAACATGATTGGCTGAGCAGTCGCCCGCAACGGAGTTCGGAACAAGTGTGTGGGCTGAACCGCGGCATCTGGCCTGCGTCGCCCTTTGCGAGCTTCTGAAAGCCCCGAACCCACGAGGAAGGAATGTGGAGGAAGACCTTTGGGCGCTTTTGTGTCGACTAACTGTAACATTAAACAAGTCGCGATGAAATCTTTGAGCAACATTCGCACCTCATCGAAGAAGCAAATTGCTGACTCAACGGAGGAAAAGCTTCTCAATGAACGACCTCAGCGCCGTAGGCAGAGCTCAGCCGCGCGGCTGCGCCAGCCGGCCTGCGGCCTTTGAACCGCCAGCCCCGTGAAAGACGTCGCAGGCTCAAACTCGATAAGGCGGCAGGAGCCGTTCCGTTTTGTATTTTTTACGATATGTAAACTAGGGGGGGGGGGCTTTTTGTTGGGCTGCTTTGGCCAACGTTAAAGAGCCTGACGTTGATGGTAATAGCTTTGAAAAAAGAAACGGTCGCGGAAAGATGAAGTCTGCCTCGGCGGCTGACGGCAGCGCCCGCGGAGGGGTCGGCGGTGCGGAGAGGAATCAAGCAGGAGAAGGAGCTGCCGAAGATTCTTTACGAGGAAAACTTCACTTACTGGAGGGGATCTGTTTAAACTAGTTGAGTGACGGACGTTCCGAGTCGAAGTTCACTTGGCAATAATCGGTTAACCGGCAAGAGTCGTCTTGCTGCCGTCTACTTGTCTTCCAGTTGACTAGTTCACACCGCGAAATGCATAAAATCTTCTCCATGTATTACATTTAATGTTACCTGTCAATTGTCCAGAGTTTAGTTTGTTTGTTTATTTATTTTATTCCCAACAAAAGGAACTTCCATTTAGAGAACAGTGCTGAGATGTGTTTCTTAGCAAATAACTAGTACAAGACTGAAAGGGATGCACGTTTCAAGATTTGTCAAATTATAACACACAGTTCTCGAAGGTTTCATCTGATGCTAACTACAAAACAATTTTTGTACTTGTTGATCATATCCATTCCGTCGTGATATTAGGTGTCATACGCTTTCACTTTTCTTCTGTTTAACACATCATGCTCCATACAGACAGACCAAGGATGAATTCATTTAAAATCTTTGATGATAAACTGACGCGTTAAGGAACATAAAGGAAAAAACCGACCAGGCATTCAATTTACGACGGAAGCCAACCGCGACAAGACCATAACTCGGTGTCTGGCAATATTCTCTCTGCAGGTGGCCGTGGGGTGGGGGTGAGGGTGGGGGTGGGAGGAGACTCAATCGGCCGACGTAAGGAGCACCGTCTTATTTTTCGCCCGCGGCGCAACCAGCGCGCCCGGCGGCGGCGCGGCGCGATTCATCCGCGCGCGTTGCATCACGGGGCGCCCTCTGCTCGGCCTTGCGCTCCGCCCCGCTTGCGTCACGCGCGTCAGGGGCGATCCGCTCACGATTCGCCCGCATTTACATAACAGAGCAATTAATTTTCCGGGGAAATATATTTAATGGAGGAGCCGGAGAAAATTGAACGGCCCTTTACATGAGGAAGTGCGCTGTTTGCGTCACGTGACGTCTCCAGAGCAGAACCGTAAAGGATTTGCATGAGTTAATACGCTTCTCGTGGCGCTGTAAGACCGAGAGGAATCCTTAGTTTAATTAGCGGCTACCGGATAAACGCGCGATTAAACGTACTTGTCCTGCAGGTGCTCGGACAAATTAGTTTTCTCTCCGGACAAATACTTGGGTAAAGGACGGGAGAGAGACGCAAAAAGAGTCTATTTTGCTGGAGGCATTTATGCTAACGAACTGACTTTTAAATACCAAATAACGTTTTAAAGGTATTATTTCTGACATGTGCGTGAACATTTGGATTAATTCTGTTCTGCGTTAACATCTTAATGGAACTTCAAATGAATCTCCGGTAGTCGTCACCTTTAACGAGTGGTAGACACTGGGTAATGAAGAAACTTATAATTTGCTCTAATGAACCTCTAAATATGCGGGAATGAATCCATCATGTCTGGAAGGGAATCTATCCTTGTCAGAGATGATTCAATTAATTAACAAATATTAAACCAATAATAAACAAATATATAATAAATACACAATAAATAACCATACGCCCGTCTCTTCCCTCACCTTATTAATAAAATGGTACTCTAGAAAAATATCAACTAATATTCACACAAAGAAAAACGCGCTGGTGGTGAATGCGATTCTTCACACCCATTTAATAAAAGTACTAAAATGCAAGTGATATCAAAGATTAAATTTCGGATGTAACATAGTTTTGTGTACCTCACACATGAGCCTCTGGGTTTCCGTGCACGGAAATCCATATTTAATATTTTAAGAGCATAAGGCAGTGAAGAAGCGGGTTCTCTCCTCCGCGACCACATTCCTTCATTATTTTCAAGATACAGCATGGAGTAAACCTCGTCATGACTAAATTAGGACACAAAACACACATTTTTTTAAGAAAACGACATTGTTTTGGTTTTGTCTTTTTTCTAATAACGCATCAGACAGACAGACCTTGACTAACATTATTTACCTAAACCAAAAACTTATATGACTTATGAGACGATTCGTGTTTGCAGAATACATAACTCCTAATTCCTGAATTACCACTTTGAGTTATAACTTCCTTTCTGAGCCTCTTTCGTTTCTTTTCAACATGATAGAAAGCTGACATTTATTCACAGACATGAACATTTGTCACCGTGACAAGAACATGAAGAATGGAGCTAGTTGCTGCGTGCGTATCGTTGACCAATGACGTCACTCCCTCGAGTATACGGTATGACGTGCGAATGTGAAAACAGAATTATTTTCTTGTTTCTTTTTGGTGTGCACGGTTATAAACATCAAATAAACAAACCTTCATGATCGTTATGTGGTAGGCAGTGCTTACAATTTAACGACCGAAGAGAGATTTATACACACGAAAGTAATATTCACCTTCAGAATTCTTAAGTTTTTCTGAATGACGTATGCAAACAAAGCTCTATACAATTACTTGAAATAATTCACCGCAATATTATTTACTTTCGCTAATTTTCGTATTTCATTCATTTCATTTTGATAGTTTTCGTCAATCATTTGACAATCGCCCAAGATTTTGAAATTTTCATTCATTGCATTAAACTTTCATGACTGAACTCATCTAATCATATCATCTAATCATTTTATTTTCTTATGTATCTCATATTGAAGAACGTAAATATACCACATTACATATCGCGACTGAAAATGCAACTATCTTTAAAAGAACTTGGATACAATAGCATCAGCAGCATCGGCTTGGATACAGCAGCATCGACAGTGTAAGTTCGATACATTTACTGACAACGAGTGATGAATCGGGCAACTGCATTGGTATCATTATTCAAACTCATAATGATACAGGGAAGAAGAGGAGACGACGAAGGATAAGGATAAGGAAAGAAGGCAGGGTAGAGACGTGAGAGAAGAGAAAGGCGTGAGAAAGGGTCAAGGGAGAAACATACACAATTACGAAGACAATGCCCAATGAGATGAATTCAGAAATAGACACGAATGACAAAAATAAGTACTTTTACCTGGTTAAATGCAGTGTACCTCCACATACTGATGGTGCATTCACTGAGTATTGTCAAAATGTGTTCGGGAAAATATCTTTTTTTTTTTTTTGTGGAAGTAGTGTTTTATTGCCCGAAGAGTTAGTCATGACAAAATACACAGTGCACCAGGAAAGTCTTTCCGCAACGTGCCGAATCAAGCCTCCTATTAAAAATTGCTTTTATGTTGGTAGCAACCAGATCACAGGGAAACTAGCGAAGGGAACAATTCTTCCAGCATCAATTATGATTGCGGTGAGTACTTAATCTACGATTTCAAGTTGCAGCTAGTGCTACCATAATCATTTCTGTTACAAGCACTCTCACCAGTACGGTGCCACTGTGGAGAGACTTTCATGGCTTGCTATATAATCTACATTTTATCTACATTTAAAATGAAGTGAATTTAATACTTTTATTTTTTACTGACACTTTATAGCTTGTTATTGTCTTTGATACGTTATATGATATACACTGCATAACTTACCTGGATCGAGAAGACAGAGGTTATGAAATATGAAAACAGTTGAATGACGCTACATATTCACTTACGTAGGAAATTATGGGTGAGAAATATGAAAAGACAAACCGAGTCAAGTTAATATCTCGTTAATTTGTAAATAAGTAAATCTGAATCAATAATATAAGTCAAAAATAAAAGTATGTAAGTGCCACGGGCGTTAACTGGTTGTAATGACCTCGGGCGTTTTGTCGCCGCTCGATCATTAGAACGCTTACAACGCCCTTGGTGCCGCCTACCTGTCGAGGAAGGGCGTGGTGGTGGTGGAGTCGGAGCTGGACACGTAGCTGTGGTAGCCCTCGCTGTGCGCGTAGGACGAGGGCGGCTGCGGGGGCTGGTAGGCGCGGGCGTACGCCTCCAGGTCGGCCTGGGTGAGCGCGCTGGGGCCCGCGCCCGCGCCCGCAGCCCCGCCCGCGCCAGCGCCCGCGCGCGCCGCCCGCAGGCCGCCGCCGCCGCCGCCGGGTGGGCGTGGCCGCCCGCCTTGGCGAACTCCTCCAGGTCGCGCTCGGGCGGCGACGGCACGAGGTAGTCGATGTCGCCAAGCTCGTTGCCCTCGCGGTCCACGCGCGGCAGGTAGAGGGGCCCGCGCGCCGCCATCTCCTCCAGCGCCTCGCGCTCGCGCTCGCCGCGCGACTCGAACGCCTCCGGCGGGATCTTCTCGCAGCGCTCCAGCACCGTCTTCAGCTGCGGGCACGCCGCCCCGCTCGCATTAGCACACGCGGGGCTACTCGCGAAAGGACGACAATCAAACAATCACAACAAGCGACAATGTGTGTTTTATTGAACCTTTTAATTGTGTGAAAAGCTGAACTGCAAACATTTGTAAACGTACATTTTACATTTACCAAAAAGTCTTTGAATTGAAACTCCCGCTCAGCAAACCTTCAGCCACAACTCTAGGTGATGTGGAAGCTTCAAAAACGATATTAATCATTAAGGGAGCCCTACTGCCCCCAGGCAGGTTGTAGGAGGGTATGGGTCCAATTTAAAGTTTGACTTGCTCTAAAAACTTATAAATGAGTCTCAACCCCAATTCTCAGTCCAGAAGCTTCAGAAAGGGAAGCAAACGTTTATCAATCAACCCCTGCCAAGAGTGCAAGGTCAAGGCAACTTTGGAGGTTTATGGGCCCTTTATGCAGTGCCTAGGTCCGTGCCTTCCCCGTTGTCTTGCTTTTACCTTTGCAACGGCTTCACCATAATCAAAACTGCTACAAGGAGGTAGTCAGATCTACACTTCCATAAGATAATCCGACCATTGAGCCATGCTATCCAAAGCTGTCAATAGTAGAAAATGAGACTAACGTAAATGCAAACGGACTCTAACTCTTTCCACATCGATTTTTCGTCCGTCGTTACATGAACACGTAATGCACATTATTTGATACAATCATTTAACAGATACAATCTAGTCATAGCAATAATCATTACTAGTTTTATTCCGAGAGAAAATATTGGGAATTAAAAATAAAGAACATAAAATATGTGCAAAGATCGCAGTTCCTGAATCAGGCACATTTTTTAAACTTTGCATTGACAAATACTCATATGAATCAAGAATTATTTTTATCGTTCTTCGAAGTTTTCAATATCATGACTATGCTGCCATCTAGTTCTATTTTTAACGTTAATATTGCTCCTTCAGCTTTCCTTCAATATATCATAAAGCATCTCTTGACCACTAATCCGATTCAATTTTGACTATCAACAATATTACGTTTGACGTAAGGACAAAACGAATAAAATGATATATTTGGCTGTTCAGCATCTTATCAAATAAACATACTTCCAAAAACATAATTAATTTTTCTTTTCGGACTGAACTCTTGATTAATACTTCACGGTCACATTCCAAGAACCGACCCTAACTTTGTAAACAAAAAAAGCTCGATCTGCCCCGAAAATTGGAAGGTGCATCGAATTCCTCCAGAACAATAGTCTCATGCAGAAAGGTGTCGAAGGTCCTTAATGAAGGTGAAGCAGACGACCTACGAAACCCAGGCAAGCCTTCTAATAAACGGTCGTGTGTATAGGTGATGCCCTTCACTTGTCTTCTCCTAGTGTTCATTATTGCTTTATAATTACGCGTTTGAGGCGGGAAGTGAGCAAGATCTGACGCTATTTGCTCCAGTGCAATTTATTCAACCATTTAAAACATAAATCAGAAATTATTCTGATAATTTTGAGGAAATGAAAGAAAATAAATGCTGCAAGAATTTTCAATTTCTCTCGTGGAATTTTCAAAAGCTCGTTGCTTCCCTTTACAGAACTTTTTTGCTATGCGTATTATCCGGTCTATTCTTTTGTGGAATTTGGAGAGAGTTCGAATGCATTGAATTGTAGTATGAAGTGATTAGTGAGGTGAGAAACAAAATATATACTGTGCTCTAATGTCGCCTCGTTCTGTGCTCAATCCTAAAATAACATAAGTTGATTTGCAACCCCAGATTAGATGTTCAGCTGTTTTTCACCGCTTTTTGGAGTGTGCAGAGGAAATATTTTCATCCCCATTGTGTGCAGAAAATGAATACTGAATATTATAATCGATACCGAAACAAAACTGCGTAGAAATGAACGTACCTTTTTAACAAGCCGTGCGCGAAACGCGGCTTTTCCTCGCTACGCTCGGACGACATACTCGACTCGTGCGTGAATCCCCTGTTTCGTGCACTTGTTACGTAATAGTTATTTTCGTATTAAGTGTGTAAAGTTTCCGTTTCTTTTACGGTCCAGATTGAGATTTTTTGCCCCGACCTACGACCTCGGCAAAAAATCTCAATCTCGACCGTGAAAGAAACTGAAACTTTGCACACGAAATATGAACCACATTTTTTTCTACAACTGCATAAAAAAAATTGTAAACTTGCATTGGAAAAAGAAGCCTCACACACCGAACAATATAGAATGCATTTTTAAAGGGCCATAATTTGAGAAGTATTATAAAGTAATGCAAAAGACTGTTTTTTCACGATAACAAGATAGTTGTCTTGGTAACAATATCTTTTTAATGGATATTAAAAAATGACGAACTTCACGTACGTCAAGTGATGTACAGAAGTTGCCTTTATTACGCAGTTGTAGAAAAAGTCCTATTTCCATTCGTTTCCCGTACAGAAAAGTGATGAGGAAACGAGCGCGTGCAACGTACCTGCTGCGTGAAGGCGGGGTTGGGGCGCTTCATGTAGGGCCGCGTGTAGGTGATGGCCTTCTCCTTGGGGTAGTTGGTGTGGTCCGTCCACGACTTGGAGCGGTGCGAGCCGCCGCCAGGGGCGGGCCGCGCGGCCGGGGGCGTGTCGGCGGCGGCGCTCACGGGCCAGGACGGGAACTTCTCGTGGCCCGGGCCGTACTTGACGCTCTTCAGGCTGGACGCGTCGCGCACGGGCGGCGGCGACGCGTGCCCGCGCCGGCCCCCGCCCCCGCCACACGCCTCCACCGGCGCCCTACACACGCCGCTTACAACACACACACACATGATCCGGGGTGGAGGACTTTACTTGCAATGCATTTTAAGGCTCATGCCAACAAGAGATCCTATCGATTGTTAAATGCTTTTGTTCATTTATATCACGCGAACAAGAAGCAAAAAGATTATAAAAATGAGAACTTGTTACATACAAAATTAATTACGTTTCAGGATACTTAGTATAGGGTGAGATAACAAGGGTGTAGTAAAATTATAACATGATGATGTTGGATTCATGAGTAAATTTACTCTGACGTTTTCCATATTGCAAATGGCTTTGTGCTGGAAATGAATTGGCAAAAGCAGTTCAATTATTCAAATTTTATCCTTTCTCATACTACTGTTACTTTTGTTATTTATATTCTTTTGTTGTACACACAGCGGAAAACAATTATAGTTAAGGGACGATCTCTAGGTTTCTTAAGCGTACAGGATCATTTTGTACGTAAGATGTCAAATTTAACGAATATTGACAGTTACAGGAACAGATTTTTTTACCGCAGAATATTGTTGGAAATAAATTATGGATTGGACGTCTTATGATGCATTAATGTAATACTTAGCTAATAAGTAATTTCCAAATAATCATACACTATAAAATATTAGAAATATATGTATTATGCTTTGATGGAAATAGTAAGTAGGGCAATGAATTATACCAGTTTTATTTCAAAGGTGACGTATTCTTGAGAGATATTTAGCACTGAAACTCCTTTAGTAGTCAGGCTCAAAAGAGCATGGCTTCAGACATTATTGGTTCACCACAGTGGTGGTCGCATAAGGAAAATTCGTAAGGCAAAGCAGGCTGTTCGCGCTTCTGTGCTCGATCGTTGGGAGATGACGCGGGGTTGCCGCTGCACTCACTGTGGTGGGGGCAGGACGAGGGCGCAAGTTTTGCAGCCCGACTGCGTGTGCAGGTAGGAGTAGATGGAGGCGTGGTGGTGGTGGTGATGGTGTGGTGATGGTGCTGCGGGGCTGCGGGCGGGGCGCGGCCCGCGGGGGGCAGGTTGGGGCGTGGAGCGGCGCCGCATGCAGGCCGTCGCGAGCCATGCGCGCGCCACGTGCTTCCATCGGGCGAGCTGCAACACACACACACAAACGACGCACTCAGCATCAGAATAGTCTTCAAATCAGTGATTTACGACCCCAATGAGTTTTTTACATCATTGTTTTTGTCAATTTGTAGGTTTCCAGAGTTTGATTTTTACAATATAATAATAATAATAATATAATAATAATATATAATAATATAATAATAATCACAAATTACCTAGTACACACTAACACAAGTCAGGGTTTTCCAGGCGCGCAATTTACAATATTCTCTTTTTAAAATTCGTAGTAGAAAAAAAAGCGGTCATATTTTTCACACAATAGTTCATTGGAGCTCCTCTTTCACACCAAACTGACAAAAAAGGAAAAGTGTGAGGAAACGAGTAGGAGAATTCTACGTTCTAGTTTGACAACTGAATCTCGGATGAAATGGGACATGTTAGCCACAGCATGAAAAGTAACTGGTGTAATTAAAGAGGAGTTCTGGACATGATGTTTTCAAAATATCAATATATTTATAAAAACAAAATAATGTAATATGTTCTTCAATTATTCAATCCGATAGTATTTTTTAAATAGTTTTATATTAGTTGTGACGCTTTTTGCCTTTTTAAAATGCATTTTTTTTTTACAAAAAAAAAAATTTTTCTTATTTTAATTTTTTTTTTTTTTTTTTTTTTTTTTTTTTTTTTTTTTTTTTTTATTTAATTAAATTATAAAAAGGCAATTTTTCCATCAATTCACTCTTAGCTAACAAAATGCTGGAGGATATTCATCCTAATCATATTAAAACATCTATAGTAGTGATGTACCCTTCTAAATACAAATGTAAAAACGTAGAACTCAGTGGTTGTTGTGTGGCGGGTTCGTAATGAAGTGGGGTCGTAGTGGAGTGGGGTGTTAGTGAAGTGGGTCGAGTAGTGGGTCGTAGTAAAGTGGGGTCGCAGTAAAGTGGGGTCGCAGTAAGTGGGGTCGTAGTGAAGTGGGGTCGTAGTGAAGTGGGGTCGTAAGTGAAGTGTGGGTCGTAGGTGTAGTGGGGTCGTATGTGCGTAGTGTGGCGAGGTCGTATTATGGCGGGGTCGTGATATTCGTAGGGTCGCAGTGGCATAGTCGTGGGGCGTGCGAGGCGTGGCGGCAGCAGGGTATGGGCGGGGCGGGGGCGGGTTGTGCGCAGACATTTACCTCGCTGCAGTGTGCCTTGGGCGGGACGGGGCGGAGCGGGCAGGGGGAAGAGGCGGCCGGAAGCCGCCGAGATTTACGTGCGCGCCGGACGGACGACGTGGGAGAGCGGAGCGGGCGCACGCTCGCACGGCCAGGGCGATGCAACGCGACGATTACACTGCGGGCAATACATGAGAGAGAGAGAGAGGGGGGGGAAGGACGTCGACACAATGAAGGAGAAAGTGATGTACATCCAAATGCAGCGAAAAGTGTGATATAGATAATCGCCAAGCAATGAAATATATCTGACGAATTTACCTGGCGTACTGCCTTTTCCTAGTGCATAGTGCATTACATCAGTGAAAAAAGAATGCAAATACGAAAATTTAAGTGAATATTTCTCTCTAAAAGAAAGGAACTTGATAAATAGCTGAATACACACAGCCGAATAGAGTCTAAATAAGCGTTGAAGTATGATGTGAAGTTTGTACAGATGTTCAAGATGTGTAATGTGTTGATAGCTTCAATTCACTTAAAACATGATTAGCGGATGGTGGCCATATTAATAGACGATTCTAGACACCGGGAATACTAATAAAAAATGAGCCGTCAACAAGACTGAGTGGAAAAAATATTAGACGTATAGAGGTATTAGAGCGAAATGAGTTCAAAATAAACGAAAGTACAAGTAAATGGATGATATTCGGAGTGGGGGTTCGCGGAAGTGTTCAGCGAGGCTATCAGTACTAGTCAGAGGGTACTTTCAACGGTCATTAGTTTAGGTAACTTAATATTTCCAAAAAGGCAAGTCAGAGGCAGTGAGAAGTACTGCATGAACGAGAAAATAAGTCAAATTGGCGTGTAAAAATTTGAACTGGCGGCGTGATAAGGGAGGGAATGATACCGAGTGCAATGGAAGGCGACGCAGTGCGTCACGCGCACAGTGAACCGATAGAAATCCAAACACGTTCGTAGCATATTTTCTGCCCATCTGCAATGAAGCATTGAATTAACAGAAAAAGAGAAATTGTATGACTCGTACTTTCGTTCCCACTTCTTAAGACTTCTCTTATATTTCAATACTACTTTTGACAGTGCGGAATGACAATCATTAATTATTCATTGCATGTAATACTCCCAAAGAGTGAAGGTTTTGCATTGTGTGCAATTACGATTTATTTACTGAGTAAATCCGTTAAGAAATGTGGTTTTAAAGAACATGAATCAACATTACAGAAATGCATTTGTAAATTGCACTAATTTCTTTCATTAATATTCCCTTGTTTGAAAAATATTTTTTGTCTCTTCTTATGCAATTGAGCACATTCTCAGTAAAATATTGAAGGCCCAATTAATAGTGAATTAATAGTACTTACTTACAATGAGTGACCCCACTCGTAAGTGACCAAACCTTACGAACAGACTTTATACTCAAATGATTATGCCTACTCATCCCTAAAGGGAAATCACTAACTCCTTTCAGGGTCCCTCACAACCAGTTTCGTCTGCGTCGCTCACTTCTATTTACAACAAAGATGCCAATGATTTCGCGAAATATCTTGAGTTCGAAACGTTACAGTTCGTCCGTACTGAAAAAAGATACATTGGAGACATGGGTAAAACATTTAAAAGGTACAATTACGAACGATTTCGAAAGCGCAAAGTCAATTGGACGATCTTTGTACGAAACACATTGGACGTGTTCACTTTGAGGCCACACAACCTCGTAACTGCAGGTGCAAATGGCACATTGCAAAGTTCCCGATCTCTTACTCATCTCATTTTTATAAGGCACCTCTATAAAAATCGGGCAATCATAAGTTGCCATTAACAATAAGCAATCACTCAATTCTTAAGGGTTTCCTTATTTCGTAAAGGTTGAGTAATTATAATTCAAATTACCTCGCTATATTCCAGTTTATGCTCCTATCAAACTCCAGTAATCAAAGGGCAAAGTACGTCCCAACTTAAGAATCAGAGATCATGTAGAATGATGATCTCCTAATAATGCACCACCCATAACACAAACCCCACTCATCAAACCTGCTATCAAAACCAGCTCAATTTACCAAAATTCCGAATTTTCCTTTTTTTGTAGGCGAACTGCTAATGTTTCTACGAAGAGCATCCTAAGATCCGGAAGAGATTCGTTCAAAACCAGCTTATTCTCATCCAAACCGTGGAGAGAACGTATCCCGTTCCTCACCCCGAGTTTCATTAGAAACATTTTCTCTTGTACCTCTTGTAAAATCTTTGAAAATAGAAATAAGCTGATTTCGATAACAAACGCCTCAAGAAATAAAATATTATTTTGGGTAGGTTTTTGTATAGTGAGTGATTAATGGGAGAGCAATATTCATGAGCATTTAACTAATTGGTAGTCTGATTTCTGGAGTTTGTTGCAGGTGTAAACACGTTTATATCCAGGTAGATAATATACTTAGAATCATTTTCCGCAAATATCGAAATTAAATAATCCACAGTCAATGCTATGATTTCCGCCCTTCATTATTTTCGCGAACGGTGCGTTTGTGCCCATTGTGGCGGGTGAGGGGGGTGAG